AAGTCAAGTGGTGGGAGAGGAGGCCAGCCCCCCTCACCAGCCTCCTGATGATTGATAAAACCACACTGATCATCCTCCTCTCTTAGCAAATTTTGTCCATAATCACCCACAGGAAAAGCGTCATGTGACTAAACACCAGCTACACCCACATATTCCCTCTAACGTGGCCTAAGCAGAAAAATCCACCAACTGGGCCGAGATCATCGACTATGATGATGAGGATGAGGAGGCAGCTCGCACACGGTCGAAGAGTGCGGCGTTAGAGAGTGTCATCCAGTTCGGCTGAGACTCGGGAGGTTCTCTGCATCAGACTTCAGCCCCGGCGGAGGAGTGCTGAAGGCTCTTTAGAGCTCGGCGCTGGCTGGCGGTTTGCTGGTCACGATCTTCATGTACTGGGTGAAGATGGCCTCGAAAGCCTCGTCCCTGTGGATCATGGCACCAAACACCAATGGCTAGAGGAGACAGAGATCCTTGGCTGTTAGTGTGCTTCTACTGTGGTAAAAAAATAAATAAAATAGAATCTGCTGCCAAGTTAAAGCAGCACTAGGCAAAAAACAACAAACATAACTAAACTGGAATAAAAAACCTCTTCAGTAAAGCTGGAACATGGAGGAAAGCATCATTCTCAGCAGCATGCAGCAGTCACACTGTTGAAAGCCCTGTGATGGTATCAGAGTATATCTTTCCCCGATAATAGAGTTATTATAAAAGATTATTAACATTAAAGTGGGATTATTAAGTTATGATGATGGCTACTGGGCTACTGATACCAAACACAGGCATGGTTTTAAACACTGAGGTCAGTGCAGTGGTGGGCAGTTAATTTTCCCAAGGGCAAAGCACCGATATGTTTATAAAGTAATAAAATTAATAGAAGAAAATTGAGTTTAGCTTATTGGCGTGGCCCCCGCCTTGGGCCGGCATATGTGCAAGTAATCCCTGCGAGCAAAACCTCAGGGTTCAAACTTCTGTACACATTCTGTTTAGGAGGGTTTCTCTCTACTCTTGGCTCTATATGATATCATCGAGAGACACCCCCCTACACTCTGTAAGCACAGAAGCCCCACCCACATGTTCAAATTATCTCTATGTGAGAGCCAACCAACCAATCAGGGGGAAGTTGGCTTAAGAGGAAATGAGTGTAGCAATTTATCTGGAAAAATTTAGCACATCATGAGTACTGACAGCAACAAGAGTCTCAAACAGAAGCTGATAATAACAAAAATTATAATAACAACAACAGTAATAACCGCTGTCATCCCAACCAATAAAGGGAAATTTTACACCATAAACAAATGAACAGTTGCACATAAAAAATTACAGCGAGCTTCCACTTGGGGGCGCCAAAGTCCAACCTTCAGATGATCTAAATACAAACTGATTAGAGATAACATTATGACCAGCTGAATAATATTGTGTTAGTAAAACCTTTTGCTGACAAAACAACCCTGACTCAACGAGGCATGGACTCCACTAGACCCCTGAAGTCCTGTATGTTGTGAGGTGGGGCCTCCAGCGCGTCCAGCATATCCCGCAAATGCTCGACAGGATTGAGATCTGAGGAAATCTGAGTGTTAAACATGTTCTTGTGCTCCCCAAACCATCCCTGAACCGTTTTTGCTTTGCTGCGGGAGCATTATCCCGCTGAAAGAGACCACAGCCATCAGGGAGCACCGTTTCCATAACAGCATACATGGTCTGCAACAATGCTTTAGACTGTTGGATGTCCTGGATATGCTGGTTTCCCGGCATTTCATTGCCCAAAACATCACACTGCTTCTGTAGGCTTGCCTTTGCCCCATTGTGCATCCTGGTGCCAGGTCATCCATGTGATGTAACATTCATCAGACCAGGTCACCTTCTTCCATTGCTCCGTGGTCTTGTTCTGATGCCAGTGGTGGCGCTTTCAGTGGTGGACAGAGGTCAGCACGGACACCTGGCTGGTCTGCAGCTATTCAGCCCGATTTGCAGCAAACTGCAATGTTCTCTATTCTGAGCCCTTTCTATCAGAACCAGAACGTTTTGTGCAGTTTGAGTTACATAAGCTCGTCTGTTGGATCGGACGACGCCAGCCTTCACTCCTCACGTGCATCCATGACCTCGTTGCTGGTTCACCACCATTCCTTCTTTGGACCAGCCCACAAGAACTGCAGCTCTGGAAATGTTCCGACCCAGTCGTCTAGCCATCACAATGTGACCCATTTTTTTTTAACATCAACTTTGAGGACACTTTCTCACTAATAATTAGCATCCACTAACAGGCGCCACAATGCAGAGATAATAAGTGTTGATAATGTTATGCCTGATCGCTGTATACCACTGTACAGTACCTACAATCTTTGCTTTTCCCTTTCAGTCGGTTCACTCAGTACTGTGGAGCAGTGACATCTAATACTACGTGTGCTGTACCGAGTGAATCGACTGAAAGGGAACAGAAGTTATAGACATGACTGTTCCCAATAATCTCACCAACCTCTTTCTCTACTTCCTCAGTAGGAAAATTATTGATGCTACAGCTCTGTCATCAAGCTACCCGGTAACATCCTTGATGGCCAACTAATCGGCTCGTAAATCAAATCTTAATGAAACGCCCACAGAAACCCACAGCAGCTCACATTTGTGAATTTCGATTTGTCACATGCAATACTGGAGAATTACTGCTGACTTGTCTGAATCTGACTGAAAGGACAAAAACACAACATCTATAGCAGATAATTATTAAGATGTTGGACTGAGCTTCAGCTGAAGCAAATGAAATCACGACTGCAAACATAATAATAAATATACAAAGTCTGTACCTTCTGAGTGGAAGGAGTGGCTATTGAAATGCCCATCCCACTTCCTGGTAGGACTGACAACACTTTGTACTGTGGAGGAGAAAACCAGAAATATCTGCTTTAAACACACACCAGAATAGAATTACATTCGTTTCATTATTAATATTTAAAGTAAGTAATTATCCAGTTTTAGAGAGGCTGCTGGCCTCGAGACATTCCTTATGCGTATTACTGAGTCATTACCTTTTGTATGTCAGTGATGTCCACCAGCTTGATGACTTTATGCTTCTTTGAGGAGCTCGATCTGGAGCTGGAGCTCTCAAAGCACAGGTAACTGAGAGAGACAGAGAGCTTTGTGAAAGGAGGGAAACAAAGACACCAAAAAACCATCCAAATTGAACAGACGTGTAATAAAGTCTTGAGTCGAGTGTTCTCAGGAGGAAGGCTACCCTGCACAGAGCTACACAGAGAGGAGGAGAGATGAGGCTCAGCGCAACTTAAAACTACGTCTCCTCTGGACTAATGAATCTCCGTTCTTCTCGTCTGCTCCACCTGTAAATGGAAGTGCTGCTTCTCTCCTCCGCTCAGAGATTTGATGCGATAAAGCTCTCCCCTGAGACAAAGATGTTCCACTTACTTCTCCGTGACGTAAAGCATCCCGTTCCTGATGTAGTCTGTGGGCATCTTCCTGTCTCGGTTTATCAGGCAACACCTCCAGCCATTTTCACAGACTGTGAACAAACAGCATACAAGATGATGAAGGAGCGTTATTCACAGAAAACACATGATTCCAGCTTTAGGACATTTCTAAGTTGGATGTACAGAAATAAAAATGGGTGCCAAAGGAAAAGATTAAATAAATAAAAAACTGTAGTACTTGCTCTTACCTGGCAGAGGGCGCTCTGACTCTGGCAAGTTGAAAATCTCGTGGAAAGCTCCCTTCTTGGTGCTGTGAGAGCGACCGCTGTCCTCCTCTCTGCTCCCCCCACACGGGACGTTGGCGAGGCTTCCACGAGAAACCACCGGCTGGACCTGGAGAGAGTAGGAGGGAAGAGGGGAAGGAGGATGGAGGGAAGGGGAAAAAAGTGAGAACATAAAAGGAGGACAGAGAGAAAGAGTCACATTAAACTCAGCGGATGAGGTTTTATAAATCTGTGTGAACTACAGTATCCCGCAGCTTTAGAGACAAGTGGCCGAACTTCAAACAGCTCCCCAACTTTTGAGGTTGCATCATGTGCGCTTTCTTCACAGCAGGCTCAGGAGTGACGTGCAAAGCAAAGAGTGAGGCCATCATTCAAGTCAGCATCCATAAATAACCTACAACACGCGTTTACCAAAAACATTCGTGTCCACTGCAGTTTTACAGTTTTACTTACACCAGCGTTGGTTATCACAAGACAAAGTCAGATAAACTTCAGGGTTACTGATCTCTCCAGTTAGCAAGCATAAACCATTGTGACTCCACTACCAGTTCAGCTGCGTCGGTGCAAATGAAAGCAGCTGCAGGTGCACTGAAGAGGCAACACCACAAAAAGGAGTCATTTTGCAGGAGGTGGCCACACTGGCTCGCTCCTTATCACCCATTTACGCTCGCCACACAATTTGCAACCAAACAGCAAGGTCATCACGGCTTGGTAGCATTTATACCAGCACTGAGGGTGTGACTATACGCTGCAGTACTCTCCTGAATGATCAGGAAAAGCCTCCACATCAGCGCTGGTACAGTACAGGAGCAGAAGTCTAAATTTTTTTCCAGAAAGTCTGATCTTCCTATACTGTTTCAACATCTCCTCATATATAATCTGTGAATCTTTGAGCTTCTGTGTTGATGTGTCATTAAAACTGAAAGAGTTACACAATTGTTTCTTAAACCTGTGGTGGCGCAAAAAGACTCCACTTTTGTCATGTGGGAAAAAACTGGCGAGCATAAACGGGCCATCACGCCTCTTGATTGATTTTACGCCACTTCTACTTTTTGATGGAGTCCTCATCACTGCTGGTAGCAGATATTACACCTGCAGCCCAGTCAGGTTATAGAGCTAGTCCAGCTCCTCAAGGACGACACATAAAATCCACGAGTGCCAACGGGAAAAAGGGGGAGAAACCAGGAGGCGGGTATTACATGAGTTTAGCAGCACATCTGCTTTTCTGTACCAAAGCTCTGCAGAATGACCTGCAGCAAGCTTCCTGTGCATGTTTCTGATCAAACTAACAGAATCAGACTCCAAGAGGTGGCATGAAGTCCTCACGGTCCTGAAGCTTAAAAAAAAAAAAAGAAAACAAAAAAAACCCCAAAAGCCAACGAGCAAATGCGTGAGCTGCACGGTGCTGTGAGCGCAGGTCAAATTAAAGACACCAGGACTTATAACACCCTCTTGCAGTCTGATTCTATCACATGATTAGCTTGCTGGAGGCCATTCTGTAGAGCTCTGGCAGTACTCCTCCTGTTCCTCCTCACACAGAGGAACAGATACTGGTGCTGCTGCTGGGTTGATGCCCATCTATGGCCCTGTCCAGCTTTACTCTTGCAATGGGCCCAGCTCCTAGTACCTCCTCCACACTCCTATGCTGGGAGACAGCAAACCTTGTAACAACACGTGGATGCATCACCCTGAAGGAGATGGACAGCCTGTTATGCGGGTCCATCTCATGCTAACAGCAGTGACAAGAACAATGAGAAAAAAGTAAAACTAGAGAAAAATCAGTCAGAGGGAGAAGGAGAGAGCAGCGGCCTGTGGCCACCACCTCGATGGTAAGATCAACTGTTCGGTTCATTTTTATGCAGGCCTCTTTACATAAGAGTTTTAATCTAATGATCTAACAGCAGTTATGGTGTATTTAAGGGGAACAGGACGATATTAATGTGCTAACATGAAACTACACTCGTCAAATCTTCTCTACGTGCCTACTCAGTAAACACACTGCTAATTCTCACAAGCATCTATGTTCGTGGATCCAAAATGTCACGGGGCTGCAGGCTCTTAAAGATCATTCAAACAAAAGAGAATAAAAACACCGCAGTGTCAGAGCAAAAAGGAAAATCGCAGACCGTTTTGTTGACATTTTGATCCACTGCATTCACAAATTACTGACAGCCACTCACTAGGTGTGTCACACATCACTCACACACACACACACACGCATTGTGGTGAACTGGCAGCACACACAAGCACAGTAGAGTAGACACACCAGAGGCCCTACCTTCTCAGTGCCAGAGAGCTGAGAGAGAGAAACGACAGAGCAGACCTGTGACTGCGGCCACGGCAAACACACACTCAGACATTCATGTAAGAGAGGAACTTTGTGGTACCCACACAGAACAATCACGGGCTCAATTGTATTGCATTATTGACAGGAGGGGTGATATACTGATTGATTGATTGATCATACTTTATTCATCCCGAGGGAAATTGGGCTAAGGCTGCCAGCGCCATAGTTTTGATACTTTATTGATCTATTTTTATCCACCACAAAGGGAGTCAGTGGGAGGTGGGCTATAGTGGGTGGACTGCTGACAACATGAAAGACTGGACCCGACCTGCTGCTGATGGATGATCCACACCCACATGGAGGTGGTATATGTGCCTTTCTTCTTGTGTGTGTGTGTTTGAGATGATTGCTTATATAGTAATCTGCAAATAATGTGAATTCACTCAAACTTCTAGCCTGGGAGAAGTTTTGCAATGCAACTGAAAGCCTCTGTGGTATAAACCTGTTAACAACTCAGGTCTTTAAGTTTGAAATCGTGATGGGCTAAAGGAAGAAATATTTTCTTATTTAAGATTTTAATTAAAAAAAAAAAAAAAAATCAAGAACCTGAGACAGGAAGCAGTGTTTGTGGTAGAAAACGCGTGTGGGTTGGTGTTGGGGTCTGTTCGCCTTACCCGTCTCGACACCGTGGCGTTTGTCCTCTCTTTGAGCTGGGGGTCGGTGGGAAGGCTGTTCCACACGATGTAAGGCGTGTCATACTTGTCGCGGAGCTTCGGGCAACTCTTAAACAGGAAGTCTATGATGAAGAACTTGATGCCGGCGTACAGGCCTGCAAAGAGAGTAATCACAGACACATTGATTCTTAAAAAAATTTAAAATAAAAGAGGTTAAATGATGCAAAGCAACACAGTTTAGTGAAAATAACCCCTCAGATGTGCCTCACTGACAGACAAAGGGATGCCCCAAATAGGTGACGCCCCCCCCGCCCAAAGTAGTCCTTGCAGCTGACCTTGATGACGTCACTAGTTTCAGCATTGTGCCCATTCTTGCACATACAGACACTGAGCCAGTTATATGTTGGAGCTCAAAGTGACTCTGGTGTATTGTTGGTTATCCAGAGCCTCCCCAGCTAAGCAGTCAGATTTTCTCCTCATGGTAAAACAGCAGATTTACAGAATAAAGTGCAGAATAATGAAAAGCTTCCAATGATGAGCAGAGGTTCCAATTTCCAGTTAAACTCGATGGAAAACCAGCCTAAGAGCTCCTGATGAGACTGATGTGGGACAGATGCACACATGACCACAGATTTCTTCTCCACTACATGAACTGGGCTCCGATGACTGACCCACCAGCTGACACCCGCTTACAAACTGGACTCTCTTTGGGGGAACGCTTTTATTATAATTGTTTTGTATTTGGAGCCTGTCATGCAGCTGCCGTGTGTTGCCAGGTCTCCAGGCTCCTGCCATTCCTTATCGTTTTCCCTGTTGGTATCAATTACCCACAACCAGAGTCACGCATGTACAGACTATGTGGGGATTTTCCCCATGATGGGTGCAATACAGCCTGCCGATGTCACTTTGTGCCAACACAGACTGGTTTCCTCTGCACTCTGTCACATTTTTCCATTCCATGTTCACAATGTAACAATGTGCTCAGCTAGCTGTCTTCTTCTTTCAGCTGCTCCCATTAGATCATCTGCCTCCATCTCACCCCGTCCTCCTCTGCATGTCCTCCTTCACTACATCCATGAACCTCCTCTGAGGTCATCCTCTCATCTCCCTGCCTGCCAGCTCCATCCTCAGCGTCCAATATATTCTTTCTCCCTTCTCTGCACATGTCCAAACCATCTCAGCCTTGCCTCTAATTTTGTCTCCAAATGCAGTTAGCTATCTGCGCAGAAAAGAAAGCCCTCATTCCCAGTCACGCTGAATGTGTGGTCTGTTTTGTTTCTCCAACTGAAATGAGTCACTGAAGAAATCTTAGATGGGATCTGAAATAATAAATGTCAGTATATTTACTTTGTTTAAATGTCCAGTGCAGCTTTTAAGCATACATTGATTTTGGTTATTCATTCCTTTTAAATGGAGAAATGAAGTGCTAGATGGAAATTTGGCTAAATGACAGCAGCTTCTATGCCAACAGTTTGCTCCGAGCACCTTTCAAGAAAGTCTGAGTGCATAGTGGTTTGGGAGATGCTAAAAAGTAGTAATTATGTATAAGATCTATATGCCAATAGCCCGCAGCTTCCCCACACAGGCTGAGGGAGTACGGCTCCACAAGTTCTGCATCTGTTTGTGACTGAGTTCACGTATTGTCACAATCAAAAAGATGCTTTGTGAACATCACTCACCAATCATAAAGCCCAGCAGTTTGTACGGCAGGACGCAGGAGGTGATGAAAGTCACCCACAGGCAGACGTAAAGTTTCTGGGTGCTCTCTGGCTGCACCCACATGAACAGACTGAAACAGATAGCAGGAGGAGGACAGAATACACATCAGTATATAAGTTATGTGCATTTCTTGCACACTTGATTGTCAGGCTGAAACAAAACCACTCACTTCTTTATCTTCTCTAAAACATCAGCCATCTTTCCAAAGAGGTTCTGGAAGAGATTTAAAAGCACCTCATTAAAGAGTTTGTCTTGTTTCGAGCAGCGGTTGGATCGTTAGATGAACCTCGTTATACCTGTGCTTTTTGTGCAACGTCAAGTACAAGCTGAAACTTTTCAGACACAGTCAAGTCTTCCTTTGGAGGCTCCTTTAACAACACACACACACACACACACACACACAAAAGCCACACGTTGATCTCCAGTCATGGATACATTTCATTCTGACTTGCACAACAACAACAGCAGGAAGGCATCTTACCATGGGTTCAGAGACCTCAGGCACAATGCTCCACTGGATCCTCCAACCTCTGAAAAATAGAAGGTATAAATAATGCACATGTTATAAGGCAACTATTCCTTCAATGCAAAACATCAACTTTAAAGGACCGACTTTTCCAGCAAGTACTGCTCTTTTGTAGCGACAATTACAACAACCCCAAATATGCACAAATGTGTGCATGTTTTTAAAATCTGGCGGTTTTAACAAACATTTGCTGTGTGACTAAGGGCCGCGGTGTGCATCTGTGTACTACCAGCACAGCTGTGGCCTCAGTAGTGGATGTTAATGTGGGTTTTTTGCACAACTAATCACGCTAAAAGCTGAAAATCGGACTGTAGCCTTTTACAAACAATCGAGCTCAACCGTGAAGCAACAGCTGAGGCAAAAATGATCCTGCTTTTATGAATAAATGACAGTTTTTACCTGGCAATGAGGTAATTTAAGGACAAGCGTAGGATAGCCAGGAAGAGGAACATGGGAATGGCCCAGCCATGCCAAGCAGCATTCATGTAAATCTGGATTCAAAAGGGGGAAAAAAGGACAATATATATACACAGGTTAACGTGGTTTGTTGTTCTTAAATAAACAACCGATATGCATTAAATTCAGCACTTTATAGCAGCGAGGACACATTCTTTCAGTCAATAACAGCAATGAATTATAAGATGGACATAAAGAGGAATCAAGGGGCTCATTGTAAGCCTGAAGCGCATAAACTTGGGTGATATATCAGCAGTGGAAGACGCTGAGTCACCTGTCAACACTAAACCAGCATCACGTCTGGATACTGAGATGGTGTAGGGCCATAATCAGTGGGTTGAGGATGATTTAGCATAACCACTGACTGGACATTAATGAAGCTCTGATTAGGCCTGCAGTCGCTGGCAGAATCACTGCAACTCATCACAGTGAAGCAGACATGACTTTAATATTCATTTAATCTCCCGGCCACGAGCTGTAAGACAATTAGGTCAGAGTAAAACTACAGAAACGACTCTTTTCTATTAAAAGGGTCGTACCCGCTGTCCAAAATTATCATCGGACTCCTTTTCCAGTCTGGTTGATTTTAGAGACCCAAAATTGTAAAAAAAAAAATCACATTGGGATAATAAGGAATTACACTGAATACATATAATAACTGTTGTAAAGTACAAGCAAGAAGTCTTGATCTCAAAATTCGACTAAATCATTCAATTTAACTTCATCAATTTCCTCTCTCTCATCACAATTGCCCTGCATCCTCTATGAAGTCTCACCTATTCCTGGATTCGATTTAGAGAAAAGAGGAAAAAGTCACAACTGCAGTCAAATAAAGGCAGGGTGGTGAAAATGTAGTGCAAGGTGTCAAAGTGACAGAGACGGCAGATGACAGAAGCAGCACAGCTGTCAATGACACCCAAACTGTGCAGAAGCCATCAGCAGTTCATGGCAGGTAATCCTGTATCACAACTAACCTCAAGTTTTCTTTTAGAGAATATCGAAGTGCGATTATTAGACAAAGTAAAAACATTAATTCACATGTCTGAAGTGTAAGACTCACAATGAAGGCAATAGCTGAGGTGTACACGGAGTGCCAATTAGATAAGGCGGAGAGGTTCCTTAAGAAGTTGGTGACAGGTCTGGCTCCTCGCTCTGAAACAGCAAAGACACAGGGATTCACTGAGAGTGTAAAGCTAAAGACAGAGCAGCAATGTCTTTACTTTTGGTTCTCTTTGTGAATCAGCCTTTTACTGTGAAATTTTCCAGGACTTTTATATTTAACTACATGTCGAAATGTTCAAAAGGGAAAAAAAATTAGATCTACAATACACAGAACTAGAGTATTGCATGAATGTGTGTTAGTGATATCATTACTATTATTATTATTATCATTATTATGTAGAGGATGCCAAGTAAAAGCTTATACTCACTGAGTCGCCTCATGTTTTCTGTCAACCTGGATGGAAAACAAAAGAAAGTGAAGGTCAGATTACGCGTAGATGCTGACATACACGCAAAAAAAATAAATGCTGCTTTATGTGAGAGGGGAAGTGTTAACACTTTGGCCTTCATCCGTCTGTAATGACTCACTGTTCTGTACAGAGGAGGAGAGAAAATAAGTACGATGAGAAAAAAAACCCCCACTTCCTCTGTGCAAAATCAAACCAGAGACAGCTACAGGGTGAGGGTACAAGCTTCGGTCTCGTCCACCGAGACCGAAGCTTTTATGCTCGCCGGGCACTCCGATTCCACATCTTCTTCAACAACCCGAGGAGTTATGTTCTGCTCAGGACCACATCTCACCCACCTTTTAGCACTTAGCGGTTCCTCAGCCTCCACTGTGCTTTCCTCCGGCTGGAAGCGGAAGTCTTCCATGTAAACCCCGAAGCGCTCGTACAGCCACTTCTGCAGCCGTGAACTCCACACTTCCTTCTGCTGTTTCTCTGCTAAAGAAAACACATCAACTTTGATTTGCTGCTATAAGCACGACTTACTTTTGTAATCCCCTGCACCAACAATCATGCATTGTTAAAAGAAAATCACTGATATGTGATGGGCTTATGTTATCAATAACTCTTACTCCAACCCTATCTCCTGCCCTGTCATGGGACCCAGACTGGACCACTTAAGCCTGGTCTCAGACAGTTATTATCCAACGGTAGCTGAGCAAATTCAAGGACTCACGCCAGGCCTGCTTCTGTGTTTCTAAGCACGTGATTGGGAGAGCTTTGGGCCATGGTGTCTGCTTTTTCTGCATTATTAAGTCTTGTTACAGGTTAAGCCACAGAAATGACACAGTCAGGATCACCACAGGCAGGTGGACATGGCTGTGTGGAAAGGTGTGAGCTGAACCAACAGAGCTTTGCAGCCTGTGCTGTTACATAAAAGCTAAATTTGCTATTGCCGTGTGAATAAATATATATCAAAAAAATACTTTGCACTTTGTGTAACGAATCCGTGTTTTCTACACGATAAGCTGACTTACTGTAAATAACTGCCTGGATTTTATAACCTTAGTATTCTCTGCATGCAGCCTGGTGGGCCTGATATCCTCATAAACTGCATACTTGCCAGTCAAAACAAGGACAACAGTCAACTGCTAATGCTGAAGTGCCCCTGAGCAAAAACTAGAGCTCTAATCTGCTGTGGTGTTTCAAGTGAACACTAATTTGTTGTGGTAGTACCCACAGGTGACTAACAGCCTGACTGCTCAGACATTTATTGCCATATGAGAATGAATACAGTTAGTTTTTTCTGCTGTAGATGATGCGATTCAGCTAGAAGCAGTTACATTTACAGTTTTCAAAGCCACCACTGCCAGGGCCCAAACAGACGCGATTTCTCTCTTTCACATTATCTACGGCAGGGCTTTGGTAGCTGAGTGCCAGCTCATTTAAACTAACATGTGACTGAGGGTAACATAGCAACGCTTTCACTTCACGGTGGTAATGTGGTTTTTTTTTTTTTCTTTCCTTTTTTTGCTCTTTATAGTTTGACCTTTAGTGACATCACAGCCACATCACCACTGAAATGTGTTACAAAGTTTAGGGTGCTGTAACTGCTGCAGCAGGAGGTTGACTCTGCAAACACACAACTTTAAAAGTTTCAAATGGTGGCGATCGTTTGCGTGGGTGCACGATCACGCTCTGGACCTCTTTGTTATATATGTAGATGTTGATGTCAAACTACAGGAAGGAAGATTCAATTTAACACAAATCTTATAATTTATTTAAAGCTGAAAAATGAGCTAAAAATCTCTGAACAGACTCCAGGCTGAACCGCAGTAAACTGTGGATGAAGGAGATGTGCTGCAGTCCTCACAGGCTGCCACTAACTGACCGCCTCACTTTACCAAACCTGGATCTGCATAAGCCGGCCTAACATATTCTTATGTCTGCCCTAGATGAAGTGATCTACAATCATAACCCATTTTCCAAAATTAGCCTCACTCTCTCACCCTCCCTTTCACTAATATCTCACACACACAAACACACACCAATCCCTGGATCACTGAAAGTCAACCTATGAGAGTAACTGTTCAGCCTGAAACCAAAAGAAAGCACATATCAGAATCTGACCGTTATTGCACTAATGAGCTCGTCTCATTTGTCCCTCGCGCAAATATTTTGAAAACAGACTCATTCTTAACAGCGACGATCTGGACTAATGATAGGAACCAGCCTCGATGCATTAATGTGGTTTGTTGTGTTGCTTACTTGCGCTTGACAGCACACAGCGCACACAGGAAACCCCTCTGTTTGCGTGCACGTGTCTGTGTGTTTGTCACGCACACTACATACTGCCTCGTGTCCTGGAGTAACCCACAAACCCTTCCGACCCACTCTGTTCCCATCGAGCGCTCCGTTGCACGCATCCTACACTCTCACCTCCCCTGCACACGTGCACACACACACGCAAACTCTCCTCTTGATTTACTCCCACACTCAGAAGACGTCAAGGACTCATTTCCTCTCCCTTAGACTCCAACTCGCCCACCTTCACCCCCCCCCCATTTCTCGTCCACTTGGAGTCTTACCTGTTCTGTTGTTTGAGGGCGACTGCTGCTTTCTGGGAGGTTGTGGTGGAGAGTCCTCTAGCCTGAAGGGAAGGGACAGACACACACATAGTCACGAAAAAACTAAGGGAAAGATCTGTCATGTGTCAGTCTCACTTCTGTATTGTCAGAACTGCAATCTCACACTTTAAGAAGTACATGAGCCAGCATGTTGAAAGCTGCTGCACTGAACGGATCACCACAAAAGGCAAAGAGACATACACAGAGCCAGACTAGAAAGATTCACTCTGCCTGTTATCACAGTGAGTAAGGTTACTGTTAAAATCTCACACAATGAGACAAAAGGATCAGTGCCAACAAAAATGGAAAAGGGTGAAAGAGGCAGGGTGGTACAGCAAACATCCTCCTTTAACTTCAGACACATTAATTCAGCTATTCATATCCTGCAAAAACTGAAGGCATCTGCATCAGTCGGACTTAAATAAATCTCAATGACAAATCTGAAATCACTCATTGGTCCTTTAGGGAGGGCCTACCCACAAATCACCCATTCTGCACAGCTACAAACACACACATTCAATAAGTGCATCCCTACAGCCATTCTTATTCCATAAAACGTCCTGAACAGGCACTGCAGTGGTAGTTACAAATGGATGAAACAACATTTAGAGCAAACTGGCACTGGCAAACTTGTTGCTCTTTTATCTATAAGGCTTTAATTGCAGTCATATTTCTTTGTAATGGACAGGAAATTCTAGCGTAAGACTGAATTGATCTTCTCCCTAAAGCGAAGGCTTCTCCAGAATGTGTTAATGCTTTGTTTTACTGTTTATTCCAATCATATACCAGTGAAGAAGAAATGTTTGCTGTCTGTTATGCTCATGCTGGATATTGCTGACAAAGTATTAACTGTGGAAACCTTGCAGGTCACAGTACATTAACTTCACCTCTTACAAATTCCTAAACTGCTTTCGATAGTCTTGAGGCCATGTTTCAGCGCTGGCAATCACTTGAAGAATACCAGCAGAATTTCCCATGGGCATTCAAGCTAACATTTCCACACAGTCCACACACACACAGTACATGAGAGAGAGACATGCACACCCGCAAGTGTAAAGGGTATCCCAGTAGATGCCAAGAGGCGTGGGTTTTTCCTGTCACCAGGATAGCATCTGTGTCACAGCGCGGAGATTCAGACAAGCGCGTGACTCCTTTCGTTTTTTTTCCTCTCCCTCTCCCTTTTTCCATCTCCCTAATAACACACACACACACACACACACACACACACACACACACCCACCCACCCCCTTGTGGAATTTCCTGCCTACCAAGCTGTTGATGCTTCTATTTATAACAGAAACCTTGGGCAGCACCGGCACCGACATCCTCGTCATCCAACTTGCCCCGTGGTAAACTCTGCTGAACTGTTACAAAGTGCAGCGTCACCCTTTCCTTTCATTTCATAACTATTACTTCCCTTTTCATACATTTCTCCTCTCATTTCCCGTCATGTGCTTCACTCTGCAGTCCCGTCTTCTCGTCTCACCTGGTTTTGAGCAAATCGCTCATCTTCTGCTCCAGGTCTATCCTTTTGCTTCGCTCCCTCTCGAGCTCCTGCCGCAGGGAGTCCACGCTGGTCTCGTCCCGCAGCTTCCTCAGTTCCTCCTCTGGAGAAAACAAAACAACACAAATACTGGAGGTCAGCAAATTTAATTCACTCTAATTCAAGTCGATTTTACTTATATCACACCTTTATATTGTAAGGTAAAGACTCTACTGTAAAAGAGAAAAGACCCTAACAATCACATGACCCTCTATGAGAAAACTTGGTGAAAGTGGAGATCAAGAACTCCCTTTAAACAGGAAGAAACCTCCAGCAGAACCAGGGTTAGGGGGGAGTTGCCATCTAGTTGGGGGTGAGGGGAGGAAGACAGGACAAAAGACACAATGTGGAACTTATTATGTTATCTTTAATGGCTCATCCTGATCCCTGACCCTGGTACTGCCAGAGGTTTCTTCCTGTTAAAAGGCACTTTTTCCTTCCCACTGTCGCCAAGTTTGTCGCCAGAGGGTCATCTGATATATTGTATGTGCTTTACTTTAAAATATAAAAGATGCTATATCAGTAACATTTAATTTTTCTTAAATGATGAGATTCATACTCTCACATGCTCAGGGTCACAAAAAGGCACATAAGAAGCAAGATTTAAATTTATGTGCAATGCCATTTTCAGTAAAAGAATTCAATTCAATAAAAAAAATAAATTGCTGTGCTTAAAGATACTTTTCCCTGAAAAAACTGCCTCTGCTGAGTCACGAATTTCTCATTTTATCCCTCCCGTTTATAGCCTATAACCTTCACCTCTCCTCCTCACTTCCTCCTTGTCAATCATGTGATGGCTTCAATTGGTTTCGGGTAACGGCACTTTCAAAGCCTGGGGTGCAAAATCAGCACTGTCTCACACTCTATTGCCCCTGAATAAAGGAGCACATGAATATTGGAGAAGAGAAGGCCAGAAATGTGTGCACGTGCACCCGTCAATCAGTACCCACTTACCCATTAGATGCTCGAATAAGCAATCGCAAAAATCAAAAGGACAGATCGAGTCCACCTTAAAGAGAAATATTTCTGATTATCAGCAAAGCCTCTTCGAGGACAATCATGCCCTGCTGTAGCACCACTTCCATTGTGAACACCCTCAAAAGCACACAAGTTGGTGTCTCAGTTAAAAACGAGAAACATCACCTGAAACGGGTGCAACATGTTCCTGAAGTAGCAAAGTGCTGAAAGTAAAGAAAGCAATGAAAGCAGCGCAACTCCCCAATCACCCACTTTTCTCAGAACATCGCATACCCGAGGAGAGGATTCAGATTACAAGACTGTAGCTGCCACTTTCTCTTTCTCATCACCCAGCCTCATAGCTCACTCTAGTCCTTTATTACATCCCATTAACACTAATAAAACATTCATTGGCAGAACCTCCTGCAGCTACAGCGCTGGCTTCAACCTGGGGTGCTGCCTCTGAGAGAGGAAATACATCCAGTATAATGTTTCTGCCTCAGATTCTTCTTCTGCATTTCTAGTTTACTCAGAGCAGTTTGGGAAAATTTGGCTCTCTTTGAAGTCTTCCTTTTGAAAATCCTCTGCAGTGGTGCATTAAAGAAGAAAAACAAACCATCATTTTATCTCTTACTTCCCAAAATGCAAAATGACTCCTCTCATACATTCAACAGTGGCTGTGTCTCTCCTCCCATCGGCACAGCATTCAAATATGTATGAAAACGTGCCTCTGTGTACATAACAGTAAGCAAAACACAGGCCAAAGGTCGCAATGGGCTTAAGCTGCTTAATGGTTGCCCTGTGCCATAAGATCTGCAGCCAACTTTAAACCTATTACATTAAAAGACTAGCAGCAGCAGCGGGTATGATACAAGCAGTAGTTTGGCTTTGAGTTTAGTGTAACATAAGCAAAGTCACTCTGTACAGAAAAGGAATTCATAATGACAATACTCTGAAAACAACCTGCATTAACTTTTGGTGAGGAGGAGCCCCAAGTGGTAAATAAGCTGGAAACATGAAGACTTGAAGCAGCATCTGTGATCACCTGGAGCAGTGTCTGCAACATTAGGCCTGCTTTGGTTTCTACCACAATATCTGCATTATTTCCACAACACTGATGAGCAGTCCGATGAAACTGCTGAAGGACCTTCAAGTCAAGTAACATAACTAAACCAACCACAGGATCTCTTTCTTAACAAGATGACTTGGGTGGTTTTCACAGCTTTTTACCACTAATGCCCACTCGTACGCTGCCACTCCGTACAACCACTCCCTGCACCCCACCCCCAATTTCTTTCTCCCATGCTCCACTCCTTCCCGTGCATGTATTCCCTCTCTGTAGTTTCCTTCCACATTGTCCATAACCTTCAAAACACCAGAAATAGAGATGCTGCAGAGTCCATAACACTGCACTGGAAGTGGGGCCACAAGTGTGTGATACAGCACAGTTTGGCACAGTACGCTATGTGTGTCGGACGAGGAAGGATAGAGTACAATCTGTTTTTTTCTGTTCCACAGAGGCCCTCTACATCAGATAGCATATTAATAATACTGTCAACATGCCTGTTCTGCACCTAAAACTGGATTGCTGACTTCTATATATAAATCTTCATCCTGGGTTGCCACATCACAGGGTCTCTTCAGCCATTACGAAAGCTAGTGACTAGACCATTTATGTGTAACACAGGCAGGGGATTAGCTAAATGCCATGCCAAGAGATGTCACTTTTAATTGTGCTGACCTTCTGTTCTTTGCAGACTTTGAATGAAACCATAATATCTGTAGAAAAGCTACAAAAACATCACTATGAACTTTACACATGATACATTATTTTATAAGGAAGGTTTGGATGCTGAGGGCAGATTATGGAAATGATGGAGGTTCTGCACTGCTTAACGGTGTTTTATTTGTACCAGGTTAAAAGGAATCGTTATGCACATTTTTAAATTGTACTGGAGTAGCGCTGCATGACTCACACTTCAAAGTAATTCTTAACCATTTCATATTGGGCCCTAATGCAGCACTTCAATCCCCTCTTACTTTAAGTCTACTCTCGCTTCAGGCCGGCTTTCTTCCAATTGGCTGCCCCTCTTAAACAAAAGGTGGGCGGGATTTCTGTGCCCTGTATCCAGATTTGTGTTACGCAGACACATAGCAGTTTCTTTTTTGAATAATTGGAGTCAAAAAGCCAAAATAAAACTAAATGTTTGCATTCCTGAATGCTGATGAGGATTTGTGACAATAATAACCACTATACAGAAATTTCCTAAATCAAAGCATACATGTAATTTTTCATTTTTGTCTTGTCACACCATTATTAGAGCTAGTAGAGCCCAAACCTATACAATGAATTTTTTATGGTCCTGATCCACTACTGAGGTAGAGATGCTATATTTAGCTGGACAGATGAGTCCTGGTTCCCAACTCAAATGTGACAAAAACATACCTCATCTGGTTAAACCTTCTTTGATAAGCTGAGGAAAAATCAAATCATTCACACTTGCATGTAACCTTTAAATACCTCCATGGATTCAGCAATTTAAAAAGTAAAGTTTAGAGCACCTTAGAGACCTCAGAACACTTTTAAAACAGGCTGGCTCGTGTTAGTCACGTCCGGCTTATATTCCAAAGATGGCAAACTTACTGAGGTTGAGGTTACTTTTATGGCTTTTGAAATTATCGACAGCTCCACTGTAAAGCAGCTCAAAGCTGTCAAAGGTGCAGTCCTCCATCCTGCACAAGGCCATGCGCCTCTGCAATCGACCGGTCCCCGGGACGCTGCTGCAGGAACGGGACGGCAGAGTGGCCGCTTTGGGTCGGTCTTGACGTCCAGCCATGGCTGCAGGTTGCTTTAGTCCAGCCTGGAGAGTTTAACCCTCCCACTCTGACCTCAAAACTCCTCCAAGGCCCGTAAAAGTTTAGCTACAGGTCCCATGTTTACATGCCTCATCCAGAGATCAGGGATTTCTCCAAACTAAGTTATCGCAAGCACCACAACGGACTGTTGTGACAGGCCTCCACACAGTGTGATGAGCAGCGATCAGAGCTGGTCTGCATGTGTCAGGCTCTGGGTGACAAGAGAAGGGGGGCAGTGAAGGTAAAGAGAGGCGGAGCTTTGCTCGGC